TTCTCAAATATTCTCTCCAACTCAAGAAGAAGAAGAAATGAGTGAATGAGTTTTATGTGAAGCTATATGTGAAGGAATGATGTGAATGAGTTTTATGTGAAGCTATATGTGAAGGAATGATGTGAATGAGTTTTATGTGAAGCTATATGTGAAGGAATGATGTGAATGAGTTTTATGTGAAGCTATATGTGAAGGAATGATGTGAATGAGTTTTATGTGAAGCTATATGTGAAGGAATGATGTGAATGAGTTTTATGTGAAGCTATATGTGAAGGAATGATGTGAATGAGTTTTATGTGAAGCTATATGTGAAGGAATGATGTGAATGAGTTTTATGTGAAGCTATATGTGAAGGAATGATGTGAATGAGTTTTATGTGAAGCTATATGTGAAGGAATGATGTGAATGAGTTTTATGTGAAGCTATATGTGAAGGAATGATGTGAATGAGTTTTATGTGAAGCTATATGTGAAGGAATGATGTGAATGAGTTTTATGTGAAGCTATATGTGAAGGAATGATGTGAATGAGTTTTATGTGAAGCTATATGTGAAGGAATGGTGTGAATGAGTTTTATGTGATCTTGTGATGATCCTATGTAAAGTGGATAGCATTGTGAGTTAAAGTATGATTTCTCATGATGTATATATGAAATGATGTTGGATTATGAAGTATCCTTAAATGAAAATGTTGTGACTTGGTTGGTAGACTAAAGTGTCCCTCCTTGTTACTTAAAGTCTTGAATGCATGAATGTGTGAAATGGGCAAAACTAAGAAATGGTGCCCTTTCATAAGTCTAGCTTTCCTAAGTAAATGTAAAACCATGAAATCGGTAGACCTAATGGTGGTAGCCCTTCTCATGTGTGAAATGATGAACCTTGGATCGGTAGGCCTAAGGCACCCTTCTAGGGGGATTTAATGAGCTATCCTTATGAACCTTGATTGGCCATGACTAAGAAATGGGGCCTTTCTTGGGAAGAGGTACTATGAGTTGGTTGAACTAGAAAAGGAACCTTCTCTAAGTACATATGTGATTGAATACTCTATGGGAAACAAGGCTAGCACCGAGTGGATGTGGTTAGGAAGGTGGCCTAGTTGAGTATGAGATTAGGCACAATGAACTTCCTTGGACATCCCTTAACCATGTGCCTACATGGGTTGCTTACTAGTTCTACCTTTGGCAAGTAGAACAACCTCCACGGAGTAGGATAGACTCCGGATTCCATACCTAGCTAGTATGGTCTATGTCGGTTATGCCTATTCCCATCATGTGGGATGTGCACTCTAGTTATTGGATAGGTTCTACAACGTGTAGGTAGTAGTATGGGATGCTATCTACACATGGCACGAGTAGGCTTTGAAGATACTAAAGTGAGTTCCCTAAGTCTAACGACTATTATGTGAAAGTCCCCTTATGTGCTTGAATGTCTCCAAAATGGTTTCTTAAAGAATGTTGGCCTATTGATGTTATGTTGTAAAGGAAATGTCCTTATCTAAGGTAATCTTGGGGAACACTTAAGTGTGCTTGAAGAGGTTGTATGGGCGGTCACTTCTTGTCTCACTCAAGTGTGTCTTAAGGTTATATTAGGTAGAGGTCCTATGGTAATGAAATGACATGTGTTCTTTTAAAGTTAAGCATGGGTTGTATGTGGATTTATGTTGAGTATATGTATGGTTGGCTATGGTCTTATATGTTAATGTTGACTTGTATTATGTCTCTTATACTTGTAAAGGAAAGGTTTTATCAAATTGATATGAAAGCATTTATTCTTTGAAAATGTCCTTTTTGGCATGTTTTTGCATGGTCTCCATACTTAGTACTTAATTGTGCTAACCCCTTTCTTTCCCTTTTTAACTAAAGTGTAGGGATTTGGAGATGATGACATGTCATGGCTATTTGATAGGTTTCTAAGTGTTGAAGATGAAGACTTGGTGAGTCCTCATAGATTCGAGGACAATACCCAATATGTTCTTTTATGTCTTTTTTTGTATTGTTTGAGTTGTGTACGGGATTAGTCCCGAATTTTGTACTCTAAAGTATTAGATGGTTATGAGACATCATGTATAAAGTCTAGAAAGTCTTCCGCTTGCTATTTTTAATTAAATGTTTTCTTGGTAAAGAAAGTTTTAAATTCATTATGGTTTTAGTGTATATGCGATGAATGAATGCTAAGAGGCTTGTATTAGACCTCTTCGAGGTCGAGTACGCCGGTTACGACTAGGGGGTGCTCCCGGGTCGTGACATTACCACTCAATCAAGCATTCACAGTCATTAGAGAAGAAATTTCAAGGAAAAGGTGATCATAGTGAAAGTCATCATTGAACTTAAAATTGAATGTGCAAGTATGGAGTTTGTTAATTTTACCAAGTCAATTTAATCTATATTGGTCCCCTCCCATACTCCACTTTTGTTAAGACCAAAAAACACACAGGGGCGAAGTCAGGATTTTTCACTGAGGGGGTGTCAAAATATAAAGAAGTAAACATACATAGAAGTCAAGGGGATTGAGCATATAGTATATTACAACAGCAACATATACTCCTACCTCAAAGCTAGAGAAGATGTTTCCATGAACATATAGTATATTATACATTAAAAAAAACATTGACACCCCTTGGACAAGAGTGGCTCCGCCACTAAACACAAAAACGGTTGTAAGCATCTAAAAGCAGATGCTGTTCGACTCCGACAAAGAAGAAAACCAAAAAATGGAAATTGTTGATTGACAGGTAAAAACACAAACTTCACCTGAATTACATGTATATTTAATGCAGCGATCAGCACCATCTTCCTTTCATCTTTATCCATTCGAAGCCAACTCTATCCATGAGACTTTATACAACACATAACTGCAGTCTCAGTCACTATGATCCCGTTAGGTGAATGATACATACAGATCAAGCAACTAGAGTTGTGTGGGTAAATTCCAACTAGCACGAGAATTTACAACGACATTGCACAAATATCTGACGTATGAACTGTGTATTAGAATGATATGTTGTTGTCATCATCACAATCTTACAAAAGCGACTTGGCCTGCTTAACTTGCGCACCCTGCAAACATACGGAACTCCTCGGTTAGCAAAAGACCAATCTTCATTTTATGTGTTACAACACTGACATTTAAAAAAAAAAAAAAACTGGAACCCATTTTTGTGATCAGAACTTAGCTCCAAAAGAAAGCAATCAAAGGATTTTGGTCCACTAACGCGCATACAGTTTTCTGATTCTGTAGTTAGGACCTACTAGCATATAGGTCTTATGTATTACTCCCTCCGTTTCAATTTGATTGTCCTGTTTTGACTTGGCACGGAGTTTAAGAAAGTATAGAAGATTTTTGTACCTTGTGGTCTTAAATTAAAGATATGGAAAATGTACCAAAATGCCTTCTAATCTTGTGGTCTTAAGCGTGTCATGTGGAAAGTTAAAATTAAAGAGTTGCCAAAACAGGAAATAGGCCTTCTTTTTTAAATGGGTAAAAAAAAGGGAAGTAGGACAAATAATTTGAAACGGAGAGAGTATCAAATTGATCCTGTTGTCAGTTGTCAGCAACACGTGATGCAATTTGTCAAACAAATAGTGTTTGTGAATCCACTTTTTCGGAGTTGTTACATTTCAGTAGTTCAAGAAAATTAACATTTCTCACCAAAGAACTTCTCTTGGAAGCTCGTTCAACTAAGTATGCACAAGGCTTGAAAAACTCTCCATACTCCTTCGACCATTCTTCCAGTTTTGAACAAATATCTTTGGAGCCAACAGAGTGAGACCAAAAAATTATGCCTCCCCTGATTTTAATCAACATATAAAATAAGTGTATGAATCATTGCCATGGCAAAGATGATTTCTAAGCAAAAATACCTGTATCCGGGGAATCCCATACCCAAAACTGAAGCAACATCAAGATCAGAGGATTTCACTATAATTGCCTCTGATATCATGCGACATGCTTCATTCAGTACAGGGAAAAGAATCATCTCAACAATTTCTCCATCGGACAACGTTGCCAACTGTACCAAGTTGATTGTTCAGACGTGCACTAAGTCATAAATTGATAGATAGAAAGGAAGCATTCAACGACCTTTCCAAAAATATATTTTGTTCATATGATATATGGTAAATGCATTATATGCGCTCCAACTACAATTTGGCATTCAAACAATTTGAATCATTTATCAAATCTACAATCATCAAAGAACGGATAGACAACAAATAAACACAGGTTGAACTGTTTGCAAGGGACCAATTAGAGGAACAATCTATTTGTTTATATAAAGAGGGGACATAAGCCCGGTGATGTGGCACGTCTCTTACATTAAAATGATCATTTATCTAGTTACTCTTCTTCTTTTTTTTTGCATTTTACAAATTAAGAATCCTGAATTTGATTACAAAAACAAACATCAAAATACACTTCCCTTCTCAAAAGTCATGCCATTTCGAGAATTAACTGAATGATAAATAGTCTTAGTGTCATTATCATTCTTTTTTTTATTCTTGTTGATTACCATATCTTGGTGTTCTGCTTTATGGTTATATCATGAACATTATTTATGTGTTCTATTTTTTCCAAAGCCAAATAATACATAGCAATAAGCCGCATACTTTCTTCAAGATAAGTTCAGTCGGAAGATTACTAGAGAACTTTCAATAGAAGGATCAAAAAGACAGTTAACTGAGTGAAAGAGAGAGAGAAGACCTTTGATTTAATGGTGATACCAGACATACTTCTCGCCATTTCTATATATTTTGATATTTCGGGATCTGGGCTTGCCTCTTCCTTGTCATTGTATGTGTAGAAGCCTTGGCAAGTGTATTTACCTATACACATTCCATTGGTGAGAAATTCAAGAAAATCTGATGACAAATACAATCCAGGTCCTGATGACAAGAAGGAAGTGTACATTACCTGCACGGTTATTTTTCCTCATGATTGGAATCAAATTTGATTTGTAAGATCTATCTGGAAAAGTCTCAAGGAATTTCACATCATGCACAGCTGCAGACTGGAATCCATCTTGATCAAGCATTCTGCAGTTGACATTGCCAACATCACCCAAAAGAAATGGAAGCAACAACAGAAGATGTCTTGCACTCCAAGTGGAACGATAAAAGAAAAAATATACTGAAGATCACATTCATCATTGGTGGATTATCCACATGAGAAATGTGTGTCATATAACCTTTATTTAGTATTTAAAGGAATAAGCTTCTCTTTCTGTATGATCAGATTTTGAATCAACATCCATTAGTTCTGGAACATTTTGGTAGCTGTATGTTAAACCATAAGGAAACTCATATTTCTTTTATTATGAGTTCGACTGTATGGAGAAACTGAGGGTTCTACTGAAGAGCACAGCTCGATCAAATCAATTTCACATTCATAGGATGTTGAATGGAATATGCACCTAAATGGACCCAATTTCAACCCAAAGCTGGTAAGCGCCTTATCAATCTGATACGCATCAGCACCATGTTCAACAAGAAGCATCGCTGCCTGCAAGTAGGGGAAGCACATACGTCTGACTACAAAACCTGTACAATTCTGAACTACAATAGGAGTCTTTTGAATCCTCCTTCCAAAGTTCAACAGATCCACAAGCGTTTGAGGGGATGTCCTCTCTGTTCGGACAATTTCCAGGAGATCAGTGACAGAGGGTGAGCTGCAGCCAAGTAACAAGCAAGCCTTAACTCATTTGTATCAGCAGATATACTAGGATTGCTTAATTCACCTTTACCTAAAAAAGTGGATCCCAACAATCTCCCTACATGGTTTCATCCCTTCTCCAATCAAATCTAAGTTGACTATACAAGTAGTTGAAGCAAAAATGCAGTGAGGAGGGCAACACTCATCCAGATCAGCAAAGTATTGCTGCTTCAAGGAGACAATGTCAGGCACGTCCTATTAATCAAGAAGAAGAAACAAATGAGAAGTCTGCATCTGAGTCAATCTGATGATTATCATTGTCATTTCTACAAGTAATCTGCAACAAACATGTATGGTTCCATTTTCTACTCAGTCTTTATGTATCTGGACAACTCGTCCATTTCAGCCTTTCGTGACTCATGATACTCTTGGAACGGCCATTTTTCATGATAAAGCATTAACGTAACTACTAGACAAAGATTAACTCAAAGTTAACACCCAAAAGGACTGGATAAAAGACTGCTTCTCAATACGAGATCAGGGTGCAGTAAGCACAACTGCCTAGCTGATTTTTAGTTCCAAAGATAAGACAACATGCTGAATTTTTTGTCAAGTAGCTCCCTTTGCAATGAACTAAGATTTTCCTCACCACCGACTCTAAGTGAAGATTTCACTAGGACCGAATCGATTGGCCCAAAAATTCCCAGCATCACTGCAAAGTAAAAGTATCAAGATACTGCCGGGATCATCGCCAATTTATGTTTTTATATTTCATCCTAAACATCAGACAGAATATAATAACTTGTGGATAGATAAATCTCTATGAGCTCCAGAGTGACCAAGATCTTCCCAAGGACCAAATAACTACCCAAGACTGTCAAGGTTATCAAAGTACAGCACCAGCAACATACCCAGTGTAATCCCACAAAAGGGGTCTGGGGAGGGTAAGATGTACGCAGACCTTACCCTACCTTTGTGCGATAGAAAGGCTGTTTCAGGCAGACCCTCGGAAGGTTATCAACGTATTTTATCAATTATACTAGCATAAAAGAACCCTGTCCTCGGAGTGCTATTTCACAAAACTAAAGGTATATTAGAGGTTAGACAAACATGTGTTTCAATGTGAAAAAAATACATTGAAACTCACTACTTGATCAGGTCTCAACGTACCATGACGATCATGATATTTGACTATTCTACATTACTCATCTGAGACTTCTCTGACGTGCCTTCTACTCTCTACCATATTAATGAGAATAATACAGTTTAAAATATTTATTAATTTATGTTTATGCAAAGTACTTTTGAGAAACTTCCTGTTTTACATTTCTATTACATACCAGCATATAGAAGTTCAATATTTTACCATTGGAAATTTGTCTATGAAGCGGTTACTGGTTAGTAACAAAAACTATCTTGAGAAGTTTTGAACTTCTCTTTTAAATCAAAGAGCCCCTGAACTTTTACATGGATTTGGGTCATTAAAACTTTTACATGGATATGGATAAATTTTTGATCAGTTGATGATTATTACTATCTCCAAAAATACAAATCCAAACAAAAGATAACATATATGCTCGTTATGCAGCAGCACACTAGCAAAAACTGTAGCTTCAACTTAGAAAGAAAGGTTAGTGTAGAATATATTTGAATTGACCAAGTGATTCAGTGTAATGCTTTTCAAAAATCGTACAACAACCAACCTCTATGACTAGATCCACATCTTTGAAGTTATCATAGCTCAAAACACCCTTTAAAAGCGTGCACGCTTTTTTATAATGCTCTTGAGTCATTCTTCCTTCCTTAACACGTCCTTCCAAATTGGCTGGAAAGGAAACAAACATTTTTCAAATGGTAAAACCTTCCTTGAACTAATCTAAGAGTAATTAAGGGGACTACTCATTACTTCTCACCTTTAACTCTGCCAATGCCATTCTGCAGAGAATTCTGATCTATATACTTCATGATTACATAATAGTTTGCAAGTACCAGCACTGTTGCTATTCCAGAACTCATCAAGCTCCCACCAAGTATAGCAACCTTGTTAATCTTCCTTGGTAGCAGTCCTATATCAGTAATCCCAGGAATCTGAAACAGTAAATGTATAGAACGATCAACAAAGAACACATAGAACAAGAGAATTGCAGCCACAGTAGCAATGTTATATCACATGGTACAAATGTCAGGAATTGAGCCACAAGAATAGAGAAGAATTAATTGTTATTTGACCTCAAGAATCTTCAAAGCTAGAAAATTGGAAGGACACATTAATTCTGATATGAAAGTGCAATATAAAGCTCAATCTTGATAAATTCTCTACAACGACTTTTCTCCCTTTGAATTTAGAGCATGATGCAGATTATGTTCCTTTGAACCAACAACAAGATTTCTGTTGAGGTTATAACAGTGTTTCATCAAAATAAGGAAATTTAATTTTCTTTTTTCTAAATAAGAGATAAAAGAAGTTTCACTTTCTAATTTAAACAATCCCAGATACATTTACTATATAAATACTCAAGAACACATTACATCTTTTTGAACCTTTGAAGTGCATAGAGAAGAAGTTTCACTTTCCAATTATAAACAATCCCAGATACTTCGATTATATAAACACTCAAGACCAGGTTAGATCTTTTTGAACCTTTGAAGTGCTTTGTTTCGCAAAGAATACATGCACTAAGCTCCTGCAACTATCAGATTGTCGAAGTTCATGTAAAGCTTCTGCTTCCTGCCAATATAAGACTAGTCATTTCTAATTCCATTTAGCCAACCATAGCAAAGAGAGATCACAAAGAGTATATCACCTTCCATAGTCCATTACGAGGGCCACAAAGAATACCATGTTCAATGACATCAATACAAACCAAGGGATGGATAACATTTGGATTTTGTTTCTGAATCTGAGCTCTGACAGAATTGAGCAATGTCCTAGCTTCTGCCAGAGGTGCTAATCTATCGGTTCTGAAAAGACTGATAGACCATGGTCTTCGACATTCTAATATATCCAAAGCCCATTGACAAGCTGATCCAAGCAACTGATCTGATGGAGATATAGCATCCACTAGGCACATATTGCAAGCTTCGTCTCCACTTATCCGCTTTGACATCTGGAAAACATTTATAAGGGAACCTACTTAGAAAAATCAGGAAATGAAAGCTCCAAAATGATAAATAGCATTCATCTGAGGGAAGTGATGGCTAATGTTGGTTAGGTGAGATCTGCTTGCTTATGAAAAGTGTCGACTGTCTGGTACTTCACTTCACTATAGTCACACTACTATTTTAAGCATGGATATGTTAAATCCTATCTGTTCTCTTGCTTCTTTTCACACTGACAAAGAAATGATAGAAAGGCAAAGAAGTCAAGGTAACTTGTTATTCTGCTCAATTTACCCAATTTTTAGCGCTATGACAACCCATGACGGAGACTCTGTTACAAGGAAAGACATGTGAAGATGTTGAGGCAACTCAACCATATATTGTATTACTAGATATGTTAAGCATGAAAAAGTCACCCTAAGACCAAAAATAAAAAGAGGAATCCAAATAAGGTACCAGAATCATTTCAAGAGCCTTTGGAAGGCCAACCAGCCGAGGAAGTCGTTGTGTTCCTGAGATAAATCAAACTTTAGAATAATAATCACGTATAACTGTTGGCAAAAGCATCATCATTCTGCCTTAGCAACACAAGTTCCAATATGGTCTACAGTATACACCGCATATTTCACATGAAAGATTCTTTTTAAAAGAACGCAATAACAGAAACGACAGTTGTAGTTCACATAAAAACTTTCTGTGCCAGAGAGAAGGCAAAATAAGGCAGTGTCCAGAAAATAGACTGCGCAATTTGTTTCACATGATTAAAGTGTACCAATATTTTAAAATTGGTCCATGATGTCTCTAAGCATTTAGACGTGCTTTAAGGTTACCCAATTATCTTTTATCAGAAAACAAAGGTTTGAGTATTCTTTTAAGGATTCTGCAGCTTGGATCATGCTTACTGTTTAAATACCAAGTGTATGTGATATCATATTATCTTACTTCTTTTTTTGCAGTAAAGTGTACAAAATTTTGGGATTTTTATTTAATTAAGTTAAGAGCAAAAATCATTATTTTGACAAGGGATATGAACTCCCATACAATGCATCATGTGTAGCCAGCCAATACCAGGGTATCTCGACGTAGAGAAATCTCATCCTTCTCAGATTCATTCGGCATGAGAAGACTTTAAACAATAATGTATGTCATGTACATGTCAACCAAAAGTTTTCCAGTCTCTTATTCATATGAAGAATGAAATGCAACATTTGAAACTAAATGCTCAAAAGATGGCATTACCTAAATAATGTTAACTAATTTCCAAAATGATAGGGTAATAACTGACCATTTAACACAGTAATATGCAATCTCAAACATCAGAACAACAATACAGGATATCTCAGTTTTTTTTAAGAATGAACAGGACATAAGATTTGCACAATAACTTCGAATGACACCCAGTCATAATGGAAAAGTAAATAAGTTAATAAAAAAATCCAGAAATCTTCTCCTTATGTTACCTCCAAACCCAGGAAGAATCCCATACTGAAGTTCGGGAAGACCTAATTTTGAGGTAGATGTAGATATGCGAGCATGACAAGCCTAACAAATGCATTAGAACATTCGGTCAGATTCAATCCATTACACCTCAAAAGTTGTTTATTTCTATCAATATTTTATCCACATTATTCCTACTAAATAAGTCGTCTAGTCAGTCACATGCTAAAATTTAACAAAATTAAGAGCCTAAAATCTGAGTCTCTAGATAAACCAGTGGCCAACCAATTATGTTGTTTCTGCAGAAAAGCCAGAGCAGAACAGAATAGAAGAACACTAACAGAAGCATATATTAGCCTAAAATAAACTATTACACACTCACTAGTGCAATTTCAAATCCCCCTCCCAAAGAAAAACCTTCAACAGCAGCAACAATGGGCTTCCTTGAAGCTGAGATGCAAAAGAAATATGGATTACTATGGTTACCATAAGTCCATGAATAAAACAGAATAAAGGTTATCATAAGACATATACTCTGGGGACTACTAGTAACAGAGGTTTTTCCCACCGCGAATTAGTGGGAAGTTTGTGCTATAGAAAATGATTTTCCCACTCATTCTCCACCGAACAAGCTCCCAGGAAAAATGCATGGTGGGAAACATATTCTCACTGAAATAATGGGAAACTTCCTATTTTTTCTGTATGAAAATATAACTATTTTTTCTTTTCTCACATATAAAATCAAAATATTTGTGGGAATAGCCCCTGAACATTTTTGGAAATTTTGATGGGAAAATAGAGATTTTTTAGTAGTGAGGGAATACCTTCCAATGTGTCGGTGATAAAGTCAACTGACATAAAGCCAAGTTCTCTATGTGCTGCATAAAAATAGGGCTTCAAATGAGACGAAACTCGTAACTGAGCACTCTGGAGAGAAACAACTAATCAGATGATGATCTTTCTTACTCTTTCTCTGTTGACTTCCACCAAAAGCTGTTACAACAAATCCTGCTGAGAAGTTTCCTCTTGAACCTGAAACATTAGAAGTATGTTAATTTTCAACCATTAGAACAAGCTGATCACAGAAAAATGAGAAAAGCCTTAAACATACCAGTTATGACAATTGCCTTCACACTATCTTTACGTATAGCTTCTTCAATCTTCTCTTTCAAGCTCAATAGCACTAAGAATAACAAAATACAGCAAATGATTAATCTAGAAAACCACGGCAACATCATTTTTCACAAGTAAATTTGCCAACAACAACATACCCTATGTAATCCCACAAGTGGTGTCCGGGAAGAGTAGAGTATATGCAGACCTTACCCCTACCTCGTGAAGGTAGAGAGGTTGTTTCGGAATAACCCTCGGCTCAAGTGCAGCACATCAAAGTAGTTATGAGAAGGGAAAAGACAATGAAGAAAACAAAGCAACTAATAAGGAAAGCACTAGAGAGCATTCCACAAGTAAATTTGTCAACACTAACTAAAGGACCAACACTTGATCAATCAACTACGCCTCAATCCCAAAATAGTTCCCCTTAACCACATAAATCATCTATGTTTATTCTGCTGTATTGACAATTGATATTAAAAAAGAACAGTTGAAGTTCATTTATTTACATTCAGTCACTGAGTAAAGCTAATTAATGCAAAAAGGAGTCCACTGCTACTCCGAAGCAGCTTCAAATCTTCTACAAATATGAAAAGAAAATCTGCGGATGCAATGAATTTGCGGTGTGTCCACTACTTTCCGCTTGAACTACACATATACAATTAAATAATGGCATAAAACATAAACAAACACTCAAACTAGGCCTCAGCTAACAAGTAAGCACTCCAACTTTGAGAGTGCACATCTAGACACCTTAAATAGTCTCAGTTGGCAACTAAACATTCCAACTAGTCTCCTGAAACTTAGGTAACACATAAATTTTTTGAAGATGTTTAGATGATCATTTTGCAAGTTGAAGAGTTCAACTGACACTATGGAGATGAGTTGAAGTGTCTAGATGTGTATACTTAACATCGGGAGTGTTTAATTCTGCTTTTTCGGACAAATTTGAGCATTTGTTTATCTATATGCCTCAAATAATTCCCCAAAAAGGTACTATTTCGCACTCATGGGCTCAAAATTCTGATGCGCCGGTGCCAGCATCGACGAGAATTGGATGAATTAGAAGGTAAGTAGATTAAAAATTGAAGTGATTGGAAGTATTGTTTGAAGAAAACAAGTACCGTCAACGGAAAGCAGATTGAGAGGTGGACGATTGATAGTGATAATGGCTACGCCATTTTCTCCGACCTCCGACAGAATTTTCCGGTCCGGCGATTTGCCGTCGTTTGTTCTCTGTTGATTCTCCATGGATTGCTGTAGTTGTAGTGGCAGTAGCTGATATTTTTGTGATTGTTATGTAGTGTTTAATGAATATACAGTATAGTGAGTATATGTTAACTTTAAAATATTCTTATTTTACATTTATGCTCTTCAATTATAATTGTGCACAAATAAATACTTAAACTTCTATAAAGTTAAACAGGTAAACACATGAGTCTTACATGACATAATACACTAAGGACACCATGTAGGACACAAAATGTCATGTAGGATATCACGTAGGACACGTGTGTCTTATTGTTTAACTTTATTAAAGTTCAAGTGTCTACTTGTGCACACCCAAAACTGAAAGACATAAATATAAGTTGAAACCACGTTAATGGACATATTTATGTTGCTCCTTACTTTTACCACGATCTCCCCACCTTGATCATGACTACCTCACATCTCTTCTTCTCTGTCTGATCATACTTGGCATGCTTAAAGTTTGTCAAAGCTTTGAACTATGTCATCAATAGTTCTAACTTATTATTGATGTTCTAACTCCGTTTTGACCCAATTTTACTGCTCATTGATGAAGTGGTAACATATCTTCATTTGTGTGGTTGAAAATATGAAGTGTGAGGGTGGTGAACTCTTTCACATATACTTATATGTTGCATGTCTAGTTCAACTCTCTAAATTTGCGTTTCGCCTCATAGATGAGGTTGTTGGGAAAGAAGGTCCTTTTGAACGTGGCTCAGAATTGCTCTCATGTGTTGATGGTGCAAAACTCCTTCCCTATTTTAGATTTCTTTCGCTTCCACCGTAGCATGACCATCTCTGAGAGGTACAACACAACAGTATTGATCTTGTTTCTCGTCGCTCTTTACCCCATTAGACTTAAAGTAATTCTTCAAATGTCAAAGGAAATTCTCCACATCTTACATGCCACAAGCGTCGTTGAACATCAATGGCTTGTGAGCCTCAACCTTGGCCTTTTTATCTCCATTGGACGATGCAAATCCTTCAGCTTCAATTCCTCCCTTGAGCATTTTTATCTCTGCCTTCATGGTTTCAATTGTGCTTAATGAATCCATGAGCCTACACTCCAAGAGGTGACTATTGTTTCATTCATCTCATATTTCACATGCTTACGTGCCTCCAACTCTTTGCGGATGTTGTCATTCTCCTCAAGGGTAAAGTCCTCAAGAGTTTTAAACGTATACCCTGCTTAATGTTTGCCTAAAATCTCCACAATATGTCTAGTCGTATCAACCTCGCAATTCATTCCATTCCGGGCGTAATGTCTACGAGATGTTCCCCACGTTCATTATCACTCGCCTCCGTGACCGAATGTGAATGGGATATTAGCGCTTCGCTTGGTGTAGGGTTGTACAACAATTTCCATTATTCTTAAGATTCTTCCTCATTTTTTTGTATTTCATTCCACCATCCTACTCAACGTTGGTGGTGCTAGCATCGTTGATGTCTTTCTCATTAATCATTATCATAGTATCAGCCTTTGCTCTGCTATCACTTTGTCACTAACTTAGACTTTCACTATGCATATCGTGCAACACTTGACAACTCACTCACGAAACTTTCAAGATTTTTCAAGTTCAAGTAAGCATTTTAATTCTAAATCGCCAAGGGAATGAAGAATGACACAAAAGAATTGTTGGGTTTTAAAAGGTGTGAATGGAAAATGAAGAGTTGCGACTTTTATGAAAATTTGTAGCTTTTATGAAAGGTCGTGACCTGTCCGAAAGATTGTGACTTTTTCAAAGGGTTGTGACCTTTCCGGCAAGGTACAATAAGAACATTTTTCATACTACCCTTTGTTTTCTATAAATTGAGGGATTTCCTCTCATTTTAAAAGAACTAATTTTTTGGACTTCTTCTACTACTACTAAATCTAGTATTCTAAGTGTACTTTATTGCCATTGAGTGGTTCGCTGACATCGTGATTTTAGGTACCAATACATCGGTGAGTAAGATCATATTTCATTAACCTCGGGTACTCGAGGGGAATAATTTCCTTAAGGGACATTGTGTATTCAGTGGGCTCGATTTTCTTTCTTTGAAAAAAATATTTTGTATATTGTTTTTAATTTGTTTCTGATTCTATTTTCTCTACTAGTTTTAATTTTCTAGTTTTGAAAATACTCTTTAAACTTTGTTGTTTCTTACCAAGTTCTTCAAAGTTTTGTTTTAAGTATCTTAGGAATACAAGAGGAACAACAAGAATTGCTTAAAAAGCTTTTGTATTACTCAAGATTTGGAAGATTTGTTTTTCTTGCTTGATGAATTTACAAATGAATGTCTCTTTATTCGTACTATTAACTTAGGTGCTAATATGTAAATAATAATTATCATGCAAGTCCCTACATATTTACAAAAAAGTCTCATTTTAGAATACTCTACATGACTAGATTGTTCTTAGAACTTTTCATGTAAATCTATGAAATTTTAACGTCTTCTAAGGAAATACTCCACATATCTCAAGAATATTTCATTAAGAATTATTCTACTTATGTAAGCACTCCACATGAGAAACTTTATGTCACATGGCATTTACATAATGCTTATGTGGCGTGATGACGTGGTGGGTAATTGTACTTGACTAAATTTATCATGTAAATCCCTTAATCAAGCCGGAGCCACTCAAATCATCTAACTCAACGTTATTCAATGTTAATCTGAATTAGTCGATTTTCAATACAAGGCGCACCAAATGAGAAAATAAAAAATAAAGTTGCATAACAAACTTCATTTTCTTGAACAATTCAAAAAAGGCAATTACTAGTATATATCTTTTTGTTCATCACCTCTACCAAAAACAAAAAGAAAGCGCATACACAGAACCAGCCATGGAGAATATACAGCACAAAAATCTCTCTGTAAACGGCATAAATATGCACGTAGCTGAAATTGGTGAAGGCCCATCAACAATACTATTCCTCCATGGTTTCCCTGAACTCTGGTATACATGGCGTCACCAACTGATTTCACTTTCATCCAAAGGTTACCGCGCAATAGCTCCAGATCTACGTGGCTATGGCGATACAGATTCTCCCCCTTCTCCTTCTAGCTATACCGTTTTTCATATTGTTGGTGACCTTATTGCCCTTCTAGATGCTCTGGGTCTCGATCAGGTTATAGGCGAATCTAGAATTTAAAGTTTACAAAGTTAGTGATATGTATAGTTTGAGTAATTACATGGAAATATAGGATTTAGTGAAAGTTAGTGCACTACTTAGTTCTCGTTTAGCAATAGAAACTTGAAGTTTGAGTTTATGATGTTGTGATTTTTGATACTTGAAGTTGTGTTTGAACATGTATTTAAATGTCCTACACTGCATTCTACATGGCCCCCTACCTACTTGAAGTACGGCACCAGTATTTACAATCTTTACTTCTCTATTATATTGTTCAATATGTTCACGGATAATATTACTAATTTCGTCAGCTCGAATGGTTACCATGATTCTTTCTTTATTCTTTTTTGAAAGAAAAAAATAATACCTACCGTAGAAAGACTAATCAGTTATTTCACATAGAACATGTATGACTACTCGTTCAATTTTATACGGGTTTAAGTGTCTACTTGTGTGATTCCAAAGTCGGTGGACATAGAGGTCACTTCAGACCAAGTTAAATGACATATTTATGTACCATGCCTAAAAATAAAGTTCCCCTTTAGTAGAGCTCTGCATATCTACATGTATAGTATAGTTCGAGTAATTACAGGACAATCTAGGATTTTACATACTGTGGTGCACAAGTCAACTAAATATATATGGACAGTGGATACATCAACGAATGGATATACTGTATAGATAATTTTGTATTTTTTGTTTTAACTTTTTTGTGTATCTAAGTTAGGAAGTTAACCTGTTATAGTAGGTTAGCCAGCATTTTTTCTAGGTTATTAATTGATGTTAATTTTTTGCTTATCACTCTGAAAAAAATGTGTATTCCATTTCTTTGATGCATACAAACTTTTTCACAGATTCTGCTTTCACATTTGCTTGAGCGTCAAATACCCTGGAGATAATTCATCTTCAAATATGATTCTCTCTATTTGCCACCTAAAGTGAGTGTTTTGTGGCGTTGAACGAATGATTGTACAGGAAGGAACTAGATAGATTAGAGAGAGAAAAAAGATGATAATGATAAATTATTAAAGTAAGGGTATAAGCAGGGCTTTCTAGCGGGATGGCTTTTCTAGATGTTCCAGATTTAAGCCTCCAACTCTATGTTATAGCCTTCACGAGTCACATAGGCACTCCTACCAAGTAGAATAGTCATGATATTTCCATCAAGATCGAACTCTAAGAGGATATTATGTTGAACGAGTCGCATCGACTTGACTGGCATGATAGATGGATTGGTAGTTTGTGTTATTTTCAGTTAGGACCTTGTCTCCTTTTCATTATCTTCCACTCTCTTTGTAATTTACCCGTAATTATGTTAATAAGTGACCTGATTGTATAACGACTAGTGCATAGTTGGAGTTCGAAACAGTGGATGCACATGCATTTTTTACTTAAATATTTTATTTGCCTCTATGAATTAGGTGTTCCTTGTTGGACATGATTGGGGTGCTGTTATAGCTTGGCATGTATGCCTTTTGCGACCTGATAGGATCAAAGCACTGGTTAATATGAGCGTTGTCTTCCACCCCAGGAACCCCAAGAGAAAGCCTATTGAATCTATGCGTGCTGTCCTCGGGGATGATTACTATATTTGCAGATTTCAGGTTTCTTCCAGCATCCTTCTCTCCTTTGTTTTTCTTTTATCAACTGTTACATTATTTTCCTTTAACTCCATTAATTTCAGCTTGGATAAAGGAGGGGATGTTAAGTTGAACGGAGACTAGAAATAGTCTAATAGAGGAAAATATATGTAGCTGATTCACATAGGGGACCTCAATTAAAAATTGTCTGAAAAAGCTTAAGCTAGTGTTTTTGACCATAAATTTTGGGAGTAGTTTTTTAAAAAGTATCTTTAAATATCTGACCATGAAATTTATCAGATTTCGAAAATCTGATCTTCAAATATTTTCAAGTTTCTTTGGGATTTTGGGACTTCCACTTACAAAACTTTAAAAAAAAATTCAAGTAATATGCATGTCCAAATATAACTTCAATTTTCAAAAAACCACAACTTCGAAAACTCAATTTTTCAAGTTTCAACTTCAAAATCCATGGCCAAAACGGGAGCTAAGGATTCATATAGCTGCCTGCAACTAATTACGGATTGAAGAGATTTTTTTATGATCTTCCTTACTGCATGCACTTACGGATAAAGTCAGGATTTTGGTGATATCATTGCTTCCAATTATTTTGTGTCAAATAACTTTTGTGGAAATTCAGTGTTTGAATTGTATTGAGTGATCATATAGGTTCTGCTATTCTGGGACTTCAAATATGTGATATCTGGCATAAGGTTTCTGAATTGTTTTTTTTTTTTTTATAACTGAGAAATCCGTCTGTGACCCGCCCTTTGTACCAATCACAGCCATAAGGTTTCTGAATTGTTTTTTTTTTTTTTATAACTGAGAAATCCGTCTGTGACCCGCCCTTTGTACCAATCACAGCCATAAGGTTTCTGAATTTGCTGTCTGCTTTCCGTTTCAATATACTCATTCTTTTGCCTTTTTGTAAGCTATGTTATTACTCCTTTTGTTTCAATTTGTTTGTATAGTTTTGACTTGACATGAAGTTTAAGAAAGTAAGGAAGACTTTTAAATTTTGTGGTCTTAAACTAAAGATATTAGAATGTACCAAAATGCTCTTTAATCTTGTGGTGTTAAACATGCCATTTGGAAAATTGGAATTAAAGAGTTGCCAAGAAGGAAGGAAGCATTGTTTTTTAAACGAACTAAAAAGGAAAGTAAGTAGTTTTTTTTACCTGGATAGCTCTATATGAGGCATGTCTCACCCAAGACAACATAAAGAAAAGAAAAATCCAATTCCCAAACAGATGCTATATGTGCAAAAAAGAGGCTGAAACCCCAGACGCGTTCTTCTTCATTGTGAGGTGGCCTCAGAATTATGGAACATGTTTTTTTGTCTCTCTGGCATCAATTGGACCACACCCCTCACTGTTAAGGATGCATATGAGAGTTGGAGTCTATGGAAAGTTGACAAAGCCATCAAGAAGATCTGGATTATGATACCTGCTTGTATTTTTTGGTGTATTTGGTTAGAGAGGAACAAGAGATGTTTTGATGGAGAGTCTAACTGCTTTAGGCATTTTGAAGACTAGGTGCACTGAAAATTTGTTTAGTTGGACCAACTTGTATCCTGCTGTTTATGCAGAACAACTTCAGGATTTTACTAACTCATTAGCTTTGGCTTAGATAGTTTGTATAGTTAGCCAGAGATTTTTTTGTAAGCCCAAATGCCATATCTTGTAAATTTTGCATCTTCCTGATGCTGTTATTAATACCACTTATCTTATCAAAAAAAAAAAAAGGAAAGTAAGAGTCCATGCTTATGATTATTTGTCCAGAAGTAGCTGTTGATGCAATTTTCCACTGCACTGTGCACAAAATTTAAGCATTGTGCTGGTCAAGACGTAAAAGACACTCATCTTACTCTGTTTCTTGAATTGTAACTTAGGATCCACACCATGATAAAATACTACCCTCATGACTAAACCGTGTCCCTTAGATTTGATAAAAGTACTCACTAGTGTCCCAGTTTTCACCATTCAGCTTTGTTCTAAACATTTGTTAAATATTTTTTCAATTACTATCCTATCGTGATTTTGATTGCTTAATCCAAGTAAATTATTTTCTTTTTTTGTATGCTTATATAGGAAACTGAGAAGAACAGAAACTTTTTTCACTTGTATTTGTGTAAAAAGAACATCCTATTTGCATAGGTAGTTCGCAAATTCTTTGGGAAGCTCAGTGTCAGGAACTTATACTTCTTTGGCACCATCTTGTTATATAGAATTTTTATGACTTTTTGATTTGTCATTTGAAGAAAAGGCTCTTATGTTAAAGTTAAATCATAAAAACAAAAGAAAAACCTAGCTGTTACAAATTTGATGAATTCCAGTGGTTTTCATGTGCTATTGAGATTTCTTCCTTATTGCTGAAGACGTTATTTAATCATCGCTGCTGAAAACACCCTTTCAAATGTGTTGTTTCTTAGGAATATGGAGAGGCAGAAGAGGAGTTTGCTCGTGTTGATACCGCAAGACTAATCGCGAAATTTTTAACATCACGCAATCCAGCTCCCCTTCGTGTGCCTAAAGAGAAAGGATTTGGGGGTTCACCTCATACTCCCATTACATTGCCATCTTGGTTGTCAGAAGAGGATGTCAACTACTATGCCAACAAGTTCAGACAGTCAGGTTTTACTGGTGGATTAAACTACTATCGAGCTATGGACCTGTGAGTTGCCTAATCATTTTCTTCACCAAATGACTTATTTGTTCAAGAACTCCTAAATTTTATTTTTTGCTCAAATTTTTTGTGGTATTGTTTCTAAATAAGAACTATGAATTGTTCAGGGTAAAATGTATTAAGTGAGAACTAATCCTCGTCCTCTTGGTAAATAACTCAACTTTTAACCAAGTGCAGCATTTAACCTTTTTGTAGCATGAGTGTCAGCAGACAATAGCAGACAATATTATGCTGATTTTAGAAAATATATACATTAAATACCTAGTTTTATGGAGAGATCACGGGTTCACGTGCCCCATATTTTAGCCTATAAATTCACCCCGGGATATCATGGATCAACCTAATAGTTTTATGTTCTGATACCTGCTTATAAGCAAATGTTACTTTACGAGGCCGATGCAACCTAATATACTCACTTCAACTGAACCCGGACCTTCAACATGCAACATAGAGATACATGTGTATAAGAGACTAAAATTTCAAGGTATAGTACATAAATATGTCATTTAACTTGGCATCAACTCACATTTATGTCCTCCAACTTTGGGTATGCACAAGTACACTTAAACTTGTATAAAGTTGAGCAAATAGACACATGCGTCCTACATGACAATTTGCGTCCTACGTGGTATCCTACGTGTATTATGCCACATTGGACTCATGTGTTTACTTGTTCAACTTTATACAAGTCTTAAGTGTCTAAGTTGGAGGGCATCAATGTGAAATGAGGCCAAGTTAAAGGACACATTTATGTATTATACCTAGATTTCAACATATACTAATTAGTAATTACTAAATTCTGAACTCAAAATTTCAGAAGTAACAATATGTCCAGTGCCAAGAACTTCAAAAGTTCTATTTCAACAAAAAGAACTTCAAAAGTTGAATTCATCATGTTCAAATCTTGGATCTGCCTCTAGTTGCTTTGACTCTAATACTCTTAGGAGTCGTTTGGTTACGAGGATGGGATAGACAAGGATATCCCATGGGATTACTTATCTCACCCTCTATATTTTAGCTAATCCCACAGTTTTAATGGTTCCTGGACTAATTAATATCCATAACCAAACATGGGATAAAATAATCCCTCATTTTATCCTAGGATTGTTATCCTTTATCCCACCAACCAAACAACCCTGCAAGTCTTTTATGTATACAATTATATATGATGCATGTTAGCTGTTTGTGTGGCCATTTTACTATTGTTTCATTTTTAAATGTTGCAGAAACTGGGAGCTGACTGCGCCATGGACCGGTGTACAAATAAAGGTCCCTGTTAAGTTCATCATAGGAGATGTGGACCTAACTTACAATACACCTGGTGTTAAGGAATATATCCACAAAGGTGGGTTCCAAAAAATGGTGCCATTCTTGCAAGAAGTAGTTATCATGGAAGGAGTTGCACACTTCATCAACCAAGAAAGACCAGAAGAAATTAATGACCACATATATGACTTTTTTCAAAAGTTCTAAGGTGTGTCTATTTTTATCATGGATTGCTTTGTTGCTTTAAATCTTTTTTCAAGCCTTTTTATGTGTGGAATAAAGGGCACAGGGTCTATCGGAAACAGCCTCTCTACCCCAAAAGGTAGATAGGTTCGCATTCATCCTACCCTCCTCATACCCCACTTGTGAATTACACTTGATATGTTGTTACTAGAATATAAGACCAGTTTATGTATGTTAAAACTTCAAAGCTTTCACTAAAGAATTCAGTTTTTCTGAACCATTTTTAATTAGTCACTATGGACACAGAATCAGACTTGTTGGACTGGAAATCAGAACTTCTAAGAAATTAAAAGAAATGAAAATCCGAATGGGATGGTTATTCGGTCATTGAATGAACTACGATTTGTATCTAACTTGTTCTATTCAACATTCAAGTGTGCATGCTTAAGTGAGCATGTTCAGAAGAATTATGTATAATGTGTTGATTCTTGACATAAGATTGAAAAGGAAGAAGAAAAGCAAAGGGCGTTTTTTCAAAGTTGCAGCACTCGGAGTTGTAGTGGGGTGGTATGTATCCTTTCATTATTAATTAGAGGTCTCAGGTTCAAGCAATTTCGTCAAGTAACTCATTCATTTCAATTTGTATCAATCAACTACACCTCAACACCAAGCTAGCTGGGATCAAGGTAAATTCTTACAAGGTGGAATACATCGACTGCTTTTTAAACTTGTGAGTAAATTTCATTTAGACACTCGGATTATGATATATTCCGATTGAGCACCCAAACTGCCAAACACATGATAAAGTGTTCATATTAGACACTTTCGGCATAGATTTGGAAAGAACCTTTTCCTGTGTTCTCAAGTCTTATTACGTGGATAAGTTAACTAAATAAAATATGTCACCTCATTTTATACACATCAACCTCAATTGGAAGTTTGGAACAGACTTTGAGGTTTTACAGCTTATTGAGGTCATGTTTATAACAGACCACTAAAATATGGCACTCCAGTTTGTGGCAACCAATTATCTCCAAGTAAGAAGCTAGAAACTGTGAAATTAGCAGCATCAATAACATGAAAACCAGGCCAAGTGACTCTGCCACTGGTGTTAGAACCTGGCCCTGTATTATTAAACTCTGCATAATAACTCGTATTGAGTGCGAAATCCCCTGGCCATTCTCTCCATCCTAACGGATTCACAAATCCATCGATGAAACTTTGTGCGTAAATAGTCCTTGAGTACTCCTTCCAAGGCCTACCAAGGTACGTTTGCGTGCTACTGTTGCTGAATTTTAAGTCATCTGCTGGTTTTACATTGCAATTTTGAGTTGAAATTCCAGTGTTTTGATTCGGATCTGTTCTGCCTTGTGCTGTGATTGCATTGAACTGATTTTGTAAAGGGAGTTTCGGGTATATGTTGGAATTCTGGAAAACTGCAGCAGCGTTTCCAAATATGAAATCGACTGTTCCATAAATGTCACATTCTCTGTAAAATTGTCTGAGTGAATGTACATATAATGTGTCTTGGTACCCTTGGAAGCTGCAGCTATAAAATGTGGATAAATCTGCACCATTTCTAACTGCAACTGCTTGGTGATTGATTGCTCCTGCTGTGTTTTGGAATGTTATGTTAACTGCAACAAATCCTTGACCAACCACAGCTGTTGATAAAAGAAGAAACATGTTAAGAAATATGGATGTAAGTTTTCTTTGGTTCTCACCCATTGTCTAGTATGACAATACCCCTTTCGGCCCTGACTAATCTAGATATGCGCTGCGTAAAGAGCATTGAAGGAAGAAACGCTTCCTACCAGGATTCTTTTTATTCCTATGCGACTCAAATGAAAAGGTAGGGTTAAGGTTTGCATACACCCACCCTCCCTTGAGCCACTTGTGGGTATATATCGGGTTTGTTGTTATTGTTGTTTCCCTATGCCAAGTTAGACTAAGACAACTATTGTTGGACAGTGGGAGTACTATTTTTATCATGTTACTGATTAGTGCGTAATTATTATAAAGATTTTACTTTAATTACTTAATGAGTGACCTGATTGTATTAATATTTGAACTCTAAAAAATAGAATTTAAGTTATATACATTGATAATATAAAGAATTTTTACACCATCAGTTCTTTTAGTTCAATTTAACATGATACAAAGATTATTGCTTTGTTTTTAGGTTATTATATTAGCTTTGCTATAAAGAGTTGCCTACTATTATACATTACCTTTAACCTGTAGGTTTATTTATGAGCTTATGTTTGTGGTGTAAATAATATTTACATTATCAAGTTACAATCAACACTAGTTAAATGTAATTTCATAAGCGGAGTTTGGAAAAGGTAAAGTGTATGAGTGTACGTAGACCTTATCATGCTCAATATGGTAACTTGAAAAATAGAGTAATTATGGAGGTACTTTCCAAAAGTAGAAGAATTAAATGTAGTATATCCATCAACATTGTAGCTATGGTTGCCTGTAATAATAGTTTGGTTGATACCATCACCAATCATCATCACATACTTCTTGTTTTTGGCAATTGAAACATATTCCTCATACACACCAGCAGTAATATATATGAGAAAATAGCCTGTGGAACCATCTGTATTATTTGGAGCAATAGCCACAGCATTATTTATGGTACTAAAATTCACACTTCCATCTTGGCTTACAATTACAACATCACTCACCTTAACATGGTCATCATGTTCCTATGTCAAAGTTTCAAAAAGTAAAAAAATTATTAGCTAGATATTTTTTCCCCCATAGGAATGACTTAGACTTAAAATCACATCGAAGAAAGTTGTTTCGAAAAACCTAAATTTCTAACAATTAAGGGAAAAGGGTTTGAAAAATACTCCAACTTTGGTCGAAATTGTTGTTACGATACCAAACTTTATGGAAGACCTTTTATCCCCCTGCACTATTTAATAGTGTATTTTAAAGGTATATATGTGCCCATGCAGACATCATAAATATTGCATCATTATAAATAGTAATGTGTCCACGTGAGCACATATATACCTTTAAAATACACTATTAAATAGTGCAGAGGGTAAAAGGTTATTTCCAAAGTTCGGTATTGTTACAACAATTTCGATCAAAATTCAGATATATTTCAAACCTTTTTCCCTACAATTAATGTACTCTTGGGCAAAACTAGGACACAATAAAGGAAAGGATTCATACAAGTGATATCTACTAATCTTGAATAGGTTTTGGTCTTGTTACAAAACATTTTGTTTCATCACAATGTATTGTGATTATAGAGAATTGCTATAGTAACTTTAATAATGGACGGTCCGAGGTCTAAAGCATCCCATGTTAACTCTGGATTCAAAAAAGGGTTGCACCTCAAGGGTGTGATGCAAACAATCTACTCTAATGCATTTATTAGTGGCTATTCTTACAACTCGAATTCGTGACCTATAGGTTACACATAGATAACTTTATTGTTGCTCCAAGGCTCCCTTCGATGTAATAACTATAATACATTTCAAAAATTTATGATTGGTTGGGAATTCCCCCCCCCCCCCATAGCTTGGAATGTAGACCTAAGATCACATAGAAGGAAGTTATCTTTAAAGACCTAAAATTTATTACAATTAAGGCAAACTTAGCTAAAGATAAGGCACAATGAAGGAAAAAGATTCATTCCAACGATATCTACTAGTCAGGAATAAGTTTCAGTCTTATTAGAGGACTTCTAATATTATTATTAGTATTGTCATATTTATTTACGTATACTTTCACATTCATATTTATTTGACATTATGAATGACATGAATTGAGCTTAAATGGAACGAAGATTTATATAGCCGCTCTTGATATATATATATATATATATAATGTATGTGTTACTCACCAAAACTTGGTCAGCAGCAAGCTGCTGGAGCTTGCTCCTGCTAATTGTTTCAAATATAGCCCTATTTCTTTCAGACATTTTCAAAGGCAAGTGGCCATTTCTGAAAACTAACTTCTTTTGAGTAATTTTTGTTCCTTTTTTGTCCTTAGGAAACCACCCTTTTGTGAACAAGGCTAAAGAAATACTATGAAGTTTTGTGTCATTAATAAGAGGGGTTAAAATGTCATTTCTCAAACTCCAAGGATCAAAATAGGTACTATTAATTTCTTGGAGACCATCTAAACAAGTTTGTGTATTTGTCAAAATGGCACTTAACAAAGTTTGCAAATCCTCTGCTTCCAAAATTGGCAAAATCTTAGAAGTTTCATTAACAGTCTTGAATGTTGTTGAGAGATAATCTTTGTTTAAATCAGCTAAAAATAACAATCTTCGAGGGCACAAATCATGGGAATCGTTAGATTTTTCGATCGTCTAAGGTATTTTTGAACAATTGAAATGAACTTATAAATGGTAGATAAAGATTTGTGAACTGAAAATCGACCATAGTCATAGTTATTGGTAGCATTGATTTGCAGAAATTAGGAAAAGGGGTATTTTTGCAAATGATGGAAGGAGAATTATCATCATTAGCAGACGATTGAAAAAATGATAAAAACAGAAAAAATATCATAAAATGAGACATGAAGAAAATCTTAGTATTATGATAATTGCTAGACATGATATATGGATCTCTAAATTAAATGGTGAATATTGTACATGAAAGTGTACTAGTGAACTACTATATATATAACAAAGAATTTAGATTTAGAATAATTAATTAGTGTTCAATTGTTTATGTGGCAATGGAGAGTCATTCAATACGGATAATTTATTACCTTTATAATGTACATCTAAATTTTGAATCTGTGACTAATAATTAGATTTTGAACATAATAGAAAAAAATATAGTTGACTCATATGACTTGAAACTTCTTTTTCTTCCAAAACAAGGTTCATTAGGGGAAGGGATGCATCGATTTCTTATATGTGTTGATGTATAATTGCATCAAACATATATACAATATTAATATGGTATCGGAACTGGTAAAAGTCCTGATATCAAATTTCACTGTCACTTATTATCAAAAAGAATTTACACATGCTTGCTCATAAAAAAGAATCAAACATGTAGGTAAGGAGACGTGTTGAGAATATATAAATATGTGTTATTTCTAACGACTTAATTTTTTAGATGAGACATCACACACTTTAATGTACATATCGTTCACATGAACTAATAATTACAATATACTAATTAATTAAAGAAGCAATATAATTAAACTACACTATTCCTAGTTGGATTCTTGAAATACTAATAATGTGCATCACAAGACAAGAACATGAAATTTGCCTCCCTTGTTATTAGCCTAAATAAATGCCTTCAAATTTGCCTTGGAATATTAATAACTCATGATTTTGAAATGTAGAGATAAAATAAAAGACATGCTATAACAAGTTAAAATAAATTGATCGTATAAAAATAATTGCACCGTCAATACATATAAATTAAAGATATCTTTACACTTTCAATCACATGACTCGACTTATAATATAACCAAAAATTAATTTTGTTTTTCAGTCCTTGCTCGAATTGACCCATATTGTATTTAATTTGAAAGGTAGATCACTTCCCATATTTCACTTCTTCAATCCATTGACAAAGATTGTTGCTTGACAAAGTCGATTTGTTGTTATGTATGAAGTTCAAATTGTAATTATAGTACTGATTTTGATATTAGAAAGTTAAGTTATCATTATTGAAAAAAACTTAGAAAAATGGGCTTGAATGTGAAATTTGATTTTAACATATTATAACCTAATTTATAAGTGATATCGAAATTAAGTATGTATTCAATATATGAATTATCCAACAACTGCTAATTCATACTAATAAATATTGTTTAACATGATCAAATAAGTATGTAGTTTAATTGATTAATTGATCTAAAATTAAATGGACTATACATCATTGAGATGCTAATAATGTCGTAAATCTCATTGAGTACTTCTTTATATCCTTACATTTTTACCTTTTAAATATTTTGATTATGTCACTGATCAAATCTTATAACGCTAGAAATTTCTATGCACATATATAAGGTCATCGCACATTCATGAAATTTTCTTCGGGTTGTCGTTTTGGGGTCAATTATTAGGAAATGATCATATCATTTTTTTCATTTCTTTTTCTTTTTGCATATTATAAAATATTTTGACCATGAACTAGAGTTTTTTTGAACAAATTAAAGTTTTATGAGAAAATATTAGATCATCTAAAATGTTGTAAGTTATTGTAAATGTTAGGTGACAGTCTAATGTATTGTTCATAAGTTTAAGCAATATATGAGCAAATTTTAGATTCTATTAGTCTAACATTATTTGAAAAGACAATTTTTCAAGGCCTAAATTTGCACAACTTTAAAAAAAAAATTAAGGATACAATTTAAATGGTAACCTAAAACAGAAAATATTTGCATATATCAACCATTTTTGCTCTTCTTGATAAGTAATTTGCGAAGATGGGGGAGAAAATCTTGTTAGGAGCATAATCCTTGAATGGACCCTATATCACGCAATTTAAATTTAGTTGGTATTTCGATGCGGGCTTCAAGAAGGGGCTAGTCTATTGAAATTTCAAGCCCAACATATACTGGTCCCTCTATTAATGTTTGGTCAGTTCGTGTTAGTCTTGAAGCCCTATTGATTAAAAGCTAGATATAAAAATAAAAAGGGTACGTTTATCGATTTCGAAATAATTTTAAATATGAGGTGTTTGAAGTTAAAATCGAGTCATTTCTTCCTGAAATTCATGCAAAAATAGCATTTCAACTATATGTGCTTGGACTTCAGATAAATAATATGACTTAATTTAGTTATATATATGTGCTTGAAATTCAAGCAAGAATAACTTAATTGAGCCACTTATAATTAAAGTTTATACAAAAATAGATAGAACTTTCATTTAGGGCCTGTTTGAATTGGCTTTTGGCTTATGACTTATAAGCCAAAAGCCATAGTTAGGATTTCTAACTTATGGCTTTTGGCTTATTTTTGTTATTTTGGCTTTAAAATAAGTGCTTATAAGCACTTTTTAACTTTACCCAAACACTTCAAAACTGCTTAAAAGCACCTAAAATTAGTCAATCCAAACAGGCACTTAGTCATATGTGCTTGAATTTCAGTCATATAAAACTTCAAATATTTTATTTGAAGATAGACTTATAATTTTTTTTTGCATGAATACGACTTAAATAATAGTACCAAAATCAAGTATTTGTTGACTTTAGCCCCTTAGACACATGCTTTTCGCCAAAAGCTTAATATGGATCACCTTCCTTTGACTATTCTTGTGAGTTTAAGTTTATATAAATAATTTTAATTATATATAGATAATGTAATTTTCAGGGGGTTCATATGAATCCCTTAGCTCCAAGCTGGCTCCACCCTGGCTCCGATCTACCCCAAACCCCATTCGACCCAGCTACACTCCATAGTAGTTTTCTAAATTACGTACAAATGTTCCTTAGATAATATTTTCTTATTTACATTACTAATTAAATACCAAAAAAATTAATAAGAAGATTACTTATTTTTCTACGTATATTTTCCTAGCCAAATGCCAAACACACCCTTTGGTCTTCCTTGTTCCAAGTGAAAAATAGACTTGAAAAACGAACACACTAAAATACATATAGATATATGTCTAGATGAGTTATTTATATCTTAACTTTTATGAATAGATCAGATCTTATACTAATATTATACTGAAAAGGGATACAACACTTAGAATGCTTGCTCCTCTCTTAATCAAAGGTTTTGATTTGAATTTTTAGTATAAAATTTTTTTTGGTAGGAAGCGCTACCCCTGAATGGGGCTTTACCCGATATGAATTTAAAATAATCGATCGAGCTCCAATATGAATCAATATTTCTTAAATGGGACTCTACCCGATATAAATCTAAAATAGTTAGAACTCCAATCGAAAAGAAAAAAAAAACACATAGAATGCAGACGAATACATCCTTGATTTAAGGTTTTGCAGTGTCGGCAGTATGTGCAGAAATGTGATTTCAATTAGATTCCTACACATAATTCTACTGTTCTTGGCACCTAACCACCATTACTTCTTTTCGTTTATATTTTTAGATTTTCTATTCAGTAATCGATAAATATATTGAAACTCGATTAATTGATTTTTCATTTAATTTCATTTTTATGTGTTATGTTACTTCATTTTTGAGTTCTTGAACCTTTTTTCTTATCAATAATATTGACATTATTTTTGTAGTTTTCTGGTCTTCAATTTTAATTTTCACTGATATTTTTTGTGTCTCGATTATTGTATAATTACGCTATTATTCTTTCTCGCGTTTTTTTCTAATACTCTCCATTTCATATTTAATTTGTTGCTATTGCTCCCATATGTATATCCTCTTTTTCAAATTGATTGACAAGCTTTATTTAAGTTGAATATTTATCAGAAATAATCTCTTTATCTCTACGAGGTTGGGAAAAAGTATGCGTACACTCTACCCTCCCAAACTCTACTTATGGAATTACACTAAATATATATAGTGTTGTCGTTCTTGTTGTTGTACTTCTAAAAGTAGTCTAAATATAACTTATATTTTTTTTTATGACAAGGGAAACCCACAGCCACTACCCTTTGGGTGCGCACAGGGTAAAACCCCCGCTCCTATGCAATAGCTCGCAAACCACATAGGAGAGGTAACCCGCACTAGGCAAGCCTGGTGCGACGAGCTCGACCCAGAAGGCAAACCCCTTGCTTTCGCTGGCAAGGGGTTTCGAACTTGAGACCTCCAACATGGAAGTCCCAAGCCCAAACCACTGGGCCACCCCGAAGGGTCTAAAAATTGAGTCTAACTTAATCTCAAAAGCTAATCCAAGAGCGGGGATTAGAGATTACTCTTCCCATTATTGACTAAAGTGAGAATTCTTAAAAAAAAAAAAACTAGCACCAAGGGCTGAATATCTGGAGCGTGAATAATTTTAATATGGGCGTTCAACATCGTGTATTATGTAAAGAAATAAGTCTTTGGTCTAACTCAACTCCAAATACTATCATATAAAAAGGTCACCAAATCCCATAATTAACCGGTTTGAGATAGTATTTTCTACTTATTTATCAAACATCAGAAATTAGTAAAAAAAAATAAACTCACATATCCTCCACGAAAATGTTTTTTAAGAATATTTGAAGTGGAGAACATTTCCTTCGAACCTAAACGTGTACAAATATTAAATCTTAAACAAAATAGGGAAAAATGTCTGAAATATATCCGAGCTTTGATCGAAATTGTTGTAACAATACCGACCTTTGGAAATGACATTTTACCCCCTGCACTATTTAATAGTGTATTTTAAAGGTATATATGTGTCCACGTAGACATCATAAATATTACATCATTAAAAATAGTAATGTGCCCACGTGGACACATATATACCTTTAAAATACACTATTAAATAGTGCAGGGGATAAAAGATCTTCCATAAAGTTTGGTATTGTAACAGCAATTTCGGTTAAAGTTATTTTTCAGACCTTTTTCCCAACAAAATAACTCAATTCCTTTAAATTCTGACTCAATTTAGTGCATCCATTGAACAATCTCTTTAAGTGAAACTTCTTAAATTCCTATAAAAGAAGCACAACTTTACTA